GAAATATAGTTTATTCTTTTCTGAAGCTACATTATTTCTCGACATGATTTCAGAAATGATACACTTAGTTCGTTTTTATTTTAACCACAATACATAAGAATTGAAAATTTTAGGATAATTTTATTAGTATGTCATGCAGTGCATATCATACATATATGTAGGATCATTAAGATGTCCACACAGGAATACACAATACTAAAATCGAATATCAACACCGCAATTCGACACAAAAGCTCGAAAAGACTACTTTTCCTCACATCCACACATAAAATATTTTTTAAACCTTCAAGAGAAATATTTGCGTAAAAGGGATTTGTTCGTGACATCGCTACCAATATTTGATTAATATGTTTCGCGTTGCATCTGTACTGGAGCGTGACATACCGCTTGTACGCAAACAGCTTCTCATCTCCGCCATATTTCATACCCGCGAAAGTGGAGCGTTTTATAATAAGTCTGACTAGGTGGCAGCATTTGCCTGATATACATTGTAATTAATCGACACGTGATAATTATGTAAATTGCTACTTGTCATAGGAAGATGATGAAAATGGTGGACCGTAGGAAGATTGCTTTGGTATTCGACTTATCTTAACGTTCTAGTTCGACATACATATCTACGGTTATCGTGTTTATGTTTTCGCAGCTTTAGAAAGCCAGAAATTCTAATGAAAATGCAAAACTTTATTAAAAATTATTTTTATTAAATAAGTATTTACTCATTTAAGCTTCCACCCTTTCGCGTGAACATTTTTTCTTCGAAGGTAGAGCCAGAAATATATTTTTTCCTTTATCGAAATTTTAAAGTTTTGTAATTTAGCATGTTAATTGCTAGTGTATAGTTTACCGAAGAAGCTGCTGTTATCTTTATTTGGTTATAAAGTTTGACAACTATACCTGTCATAAATGTGAAGATATTAGTGAAGGAACTTCCCTTCTGGTTGAGATATTTCATATGATATTTTAATTAAGAAATGTTACGAAAAACTTGTATAGTCCCCACTTTAATTATAGTCAATTTATATTAACCCATTAAGGACCATGCAGTGAAAGAATATAATTTTTTATTTTTTATAAGATTATATACCTAGATGGAAGAGGAAATACCGACGAAAAAATTATTAAACAAATCGCTTGAATTTCTTTTCATATCCACAATCTTAAAAGCAGAATTTTATATAATGTAGATTGACTGAAGAAAAATTTCAAATGAAATATTACATTAACGCAACATTGATTTCTAACGAGTCAATTGTAAAGTAATTTGTTTAACTCTGTACACATATTACGATCGTTCATACGCCCACGTAAATATTCCTATTTTCTTCGTCATGATCACTTCCAGATTCCGAATCTGTATGCAAAACCACAGTTTCACAAATTCATTCACCAAACTGGAATTAAATGGAACTCTACTTCCTCCAGTTTAATATTCCAATGAAACAAACTAAAAGAAGTACCTACTAAACTATATTAAAGTTTCTATTATACTTTATAGCGTTTCATTCGCCTACGTCTGCCATAAACGTATAAAATCCAGTGATAACGGTTTCCACTAAACACACGGTGGAAAGTACATTCCAAGGTGATAAACCGCAACTTCGCGTGTGTGGATCGTACCCGAGGAAAATGATCGAAGCTTGCGTTTCTATTTTGTTTCTTCGTTTTGCGCCACCAAGCGGTAAGAACGCGTTTATCCGGTCACCGGTGAAAAATCACCGTAACGTCCACGATTCGAGTTGTAGGAGAGTGGGACACGCCCTCGTTTTGGTTTTCTCCGTTCCTCGCGATTTATTGAAATCGAACTTAGTCGAACGAAACTGTTCCATTTGTCAATTTGTTCGCCCGATTCCACCGTCGAGGATCCTTGGCCGTTTAATCGTGCCCATTATTCCAGTCACGATCGGCTGTTTCACCGGTGCGAGAGCGCGCGCACGACGAACGACTGAAATATATTTTCCAGACGTTTACCTACACCTCTTTCTCGCGTTTCAGGCCAACACGGGCCAGCTGACGCTACGATGTTATTACGCACAGAGGGCAGTTTCTGCTGCTTTTCTGTTCTCCTACTACGTGTTTTCTCGTAAATTAGCTCTCTTGGAAAATCGGGTTTCCAACGGTGGAACAACGGAATTTGTGTTCTTCGATACAGTTGCAAGAGAAGTTTAGAAAATTGTAATAAATAACAGGCTGTCTTTGGGTAGCTTGCACGTGATTCGGATGGAAATGAATTAGGACATTGCGATGTGAATTGTAGTCTTCTTTTGCTTTCGTTTTTGAAGCGTACCGTCTTTTTTTAATACTAGAATTATTGAAAATGCACGGGTTTCTATTGGTATTACGTTGGTAAAAGAGACTGACTGTTGAAAATATACAAATCGATGAATTAGTGAAATTTTTTTATTTGTATATTGCAATAAAACTTTGCGAAGGACTCAGAAAATACATTGTTGTGGTATTAGTAATTAATATTAGTTATGTTTATAAGAGTTGACGAACCAGTAATTTTTCTAACTTTGGTAGTTCTAGTGTTAAAATCATTCTTGATATTGTGATTGGTAAAATGACAGTCCTTACGATTTAGTTCAGGACACACTCTAGAATATTTCGATTTGATATTATAGAGGCCTTGTTTAGGGATGGTCATAAATTAAAAGAGAAAATTTTAGTGTAAAAAATTGTGTCAACCTGAGTAAAATTGCGAATAGATTGGCACACATTGTAAGTTGATCACATTCTGGGCGAACAATATTTTTTTATACAAGTTGAGGCTCAAAGTGATCAAGACATTGCATAAAATTTTGTAATGAAATTAGCAAATTATGAAAATTTTTAACTGAAATGCTGTTTTAGGTAATTCTTGGACAAATTAGCACTTGAATCGCTTCGTGCGTTCTAAGAGCATTGAAATCTCAAAGTAGATTAAATGAAATCATTCCTTCAGTATGAAAGTGTTGAAACATTTCTCACTTCACTACGGTCGTTTCTAACATTTTTAAACAAAGTCAGTCCCTTTAAAAATACTTTAATCACTAATATATAAATTTCGAACTGTATGTTTGTTCATAATTTCATTTAATTATGGAGGAATGTATCTGTTAGTTGATTACTCTAGGAATATTTGAATGTTACTACACCAATTATTAGTACTGCGTTAATGTTACTTTTATAACATTAAAATGTCTTATATAGTTGCTGTAGAAAGGTTTATTCGAATGGAAAATTGAAATCCAAGAATTTCCTAAAACAGCGTCCTAGTTGAAAACAAACTATTTATATCTTGAATTTTCATAATTTGTTAATTTTATTCCGAAATGTTATGAAATATTTTGTTTAAAAACCCGAAGGTGACCGTTATATCTTGATAAAAATCAAACATACTAAAAAACATATTATTGCATTATGTATCACTTTTTGATACCATGCAACTATTGTCTAAAATATTTTTTCATAGTCAGTATTATACAAATAATCAAGGTGGTTACGTTAAACGAACTATCCTGTACATCTGATAATAGAAAAATTTACTTATGAACCAGTCGAATACTTAATTACTGAGAGAAATTCAAAGATGTTCTTTCTCTGTCCACGTTTTCGTATCACTCGAGCGAATTAACGTCGAAAATTCCCACAATTATCACAAAATTCCTACTCGCGGCACCCAAAATTCGTATCTGTCGTTCTCACATTCCATTTAACTACCAGCGTTGAATGTACATATACTAAATTAAATTGTATAATAGAATGAAACACATAATACATGGTAGAATTTGGTAAAATATGTTACATAAAATATAAAATTTGTAATAAATTAAAAGTTAATATAAATTACACCAATTGAACTCTGCTGTTCTTCTCACTTACGTATTCTTCATGTTTTGCATGCCTTTGAATAAAATTATTTCAACATTTGAAATGATTGGTTCCTACGAAGTGGAAAATACACAAAAAGTAGGGGTAGAATTTAAACACGTCGGATACTAAAAACAAATATTTAGAAATATCATAACTATCGAAATGTACATATAATCTTCATTTAGGGTCCGATAGACCCGAGGAGAACAGCAGGGTTAAGTAGTCGTAAAATAAGATATCTGGAATCCGTCATTTCGACGGATTCGGTAATTGTAGTGTTAAACTGCTCCCACCCATTCCACCTGGGCCCCACGAAACGTGAAATTTCATTCTCACGAAATCACTCTTTCCACCAACATCAGCGAATTTACGTCGTTCGCCGTGTCGTTTGATCCAGGGCTCGAAAAAAAAGCAGCCCCCATCCCCCGATCAAAAGTCCCCGCGCGCATTCTCCTTGTTTTCGAGAGAACAACGAGCACCGAAAATAAACACGGCTCTCTCCTCCCCGTTCTCTATTTAATGACTCTCGCGCCTCGCTCCGAGCGTCTTTCACCTGTGCTCGAGGAGAGCATCGTACGCCTGTACAGTGAAGGAGGGATAAAGGAAGACCTTTGCGCGGTGGGACAGACGCGTGGAAAGAGAAAGAAAGACAAGCATGTAGGATCGGAGAAAGAAGGAAATGAAAACGGTGGCAGAGAGCGGCTGGACGGAAAGGAAGGGGAAACGTACGGACGGCTCGCGAGCACGGTGGGCCCCTGTTTGGGACCGAGCGTAGAAGGCGGAAGGAGCGTGAGGGGAGAGGGGGGTGAGCGTGTACGGCACGAACGATCGAGATCCGTCAGTAGGTCACTGGGACGTGGCTCGTGGCCGAGACGAGCGTGGCTTGCACCTTCAGTCAGTCCCCGTTGGCCAAGGTAGCCACCTCTGGGCCCCGTCGAGTCGAGTCGCGGCAGACAGACACGCAGTAGTAGTTCCCCCCTTCTTCTTCGTCATTTTTTTTTTCGTCCACCCGAAAAGAAAGGAAGTACGGTGACGCTCGGGCCCGATGAGGAACAACTGACGCGCGACGATCATCAACCGGGGTTATTTCGTGTGATCGACAGCGGTGCTCTTCTTTGGGGGATGAAAAGGATATAAAGAAGGAACAAGAGAAAAAGAAAGGGACACAGGGGTGTTTGGATAGAGGATCGAAGAGGTGGACCTAGTGGTGTCTCGACGAGGAATTCGACAGAGGTGCATCGATTTATCATTCTCATTCGCCCCGTGTTTCGGTTTTCTATCTGTGATTCGTTTCCTGTTCCGCGGGAAGGAATGATATGCCTTTCGTCACGAACTTCTCGTGTAACTTGTTGATCGCAGCGGATCTAATATCCAGCGTCCACTTTGACGTCTGGGGCCCCAGAGTTTTTCCAGTGTTCCACCCTCCGGTCTCCTATCCTTTATCTTTGTACCGGTGTGCGCGAAATTTAATTTTTTCCTTCTTGATTTTTCTATTTTTTTGTTCGATTCTCTCGTCATCCTCCGCCGTTAAAAACTTTATTTCCCAGCCAATTTCCACGGAAACGAAGCTCTACTCCTCGAGGTCTTTGTGTCTCTAGGCGAGCCGGGCGCGGACTTTGAATCCCGCGAGATTGAATTCCCCACTGTTCGTGGATAGGGTTAACTTTTTCTTTCGGCGTTCGCGCGCGTCTTCGTGGGCGAGTTTTTAATTGAGAAGTTCGACTTTTTGGAACGTTGTTTTTGACGAGGCCCGTTGCACAACGCTCTTTTGTGCCTGGCCCGGGACAGTGCACGTGCCACTTGCGCATCCGACTGACTATAAACGGCTGGGCAGCTCATTTGGCCGCCATATTTTTCGTTCGTAATCTGCCAGGAGTCCTGAACTGTGACGCCTTACTAACGTTTCCGTTTACGGGTTCAATTTTAATATGAGCGATCGGATGTGTTTCTTTTACTTATCGATTGAAATGTTGTTTAACGATCGATCCCGTCGATCGTGGGTCAATACATCGAAACGAGTGTTCGCGTGTGGTCACATTGATAGCGAGCACCATTTTTTATTGCAGAGAGGATACTCGCATGATGGAGAGGACGTGGCGGAGTATACGGAAGACAGCTTTAATCTTCTTCCTGCCTTTACTGTTGGCTGTGAGTAAAATTTATTGTTTATATTGTGGTTGAAGGCCGTTTGATATACATGTTAGGCGAATATCGTAACTTATTATTAGACTCCGGATGTTCATGCAAGTATAGATTTGTTAATGTAATTTACAGAATTTGGAATCAGATAAAAGTTTATTTAGTGTATTTATTATTGTACGAGGTTTCAAACAAAATACAGACCTCCAACTTTATCAAACTCTCCACTATACTGAATTCTGATGTGTGTGCAAATATAAATTTTGTTAGTCTAATTTAAAGAAACTGGAATCAGATCAAAATTTATTTAGTAGCTACCTATATTTAGTATTGTACTAGGTACCAAGCAAAATACAAACCTCTTTTAACTTTATCAAACTCTCAACTACACTGAATTCTACCCAATCCTATATGCTATAAATGCATGACATCCGCAGTTGACTTTTTATTCTGTAAAATGAATTTTAATCCACTTAGGACTCATAGTTAGTTTATTATAAACGAAGGAAAAATTATAACAAACGCTTCTTAATTTAATAATTAATATATTTGTGGAAAGTTTAGACTGAATTCACTTGACAAGAGGTTTATCGTCCACTCTGTCCCGAAAGTTGACGATCTTGTCTTCAATGAGTGTTTTAATAATCCGTGCGATCCATCTTGTCACTCGCATTCGTTTTAGCTTCTCCGTCCTTCACCAATTTAATATTTATAACAAGAAAAAAGGAGAAATATTACGCCGATACAACTGCTGCAAAATTACCAGCATCAGTTACGAAGGATTGTTAGCTTCTGGTCTCCAAGGAGACTCTTCGTGAACTTAACTTCTAAACTTCTGAAACTGTCGTCTGCATTCAAGTAATTACAATCCCAGTGATCCTGTCGATGTAGTTCAACTTGGACAGGACTTTTACTTTTTTTATTAATCGTAAACTTTTTTTAATATGATGAAACAATTACAACATGAACAGGCTTTAATCAACTTTCCAGCAGATTTAAACACTCGCACCTGATGCTGTTTAATTCTCATATGGTGACCGGGTCAAGTCTACCCTAGGATATCAAAAACTTCACGTGTCATTTCAGCTTACAGAAACTGATTAAAACCAGTCATTTATAATAATATTGCATAATGCAAATAAGACGACCAGCACATTTTGAAGAAATCACGTTCCAAATCACATGCAAAGACAAATGAATACGGAACTATATCGGGACCCCAGGGCGAGAATGTATTAAGTTTACTTTAATAAAAAAAATGACGTTGTACAATGTTTCCCATATCGAATTTCTCATTCCCTCCTACGGTACAATAAAAATTATCTCGTTCGAAGTTGTTTAGTTTTTAATGAAATAGTATAACAATGGTACATATTAAGTCCATATCTTGTTCCAAGCCAAACAATGTATAGTCTATCACATAGGGGATCTAATGTTCATCATTTCTAGATACGGAGACTTGTCTTAAGTCCATTCAATAGTTCGAAGGTAGTGATTGTTTGTCATTGAATTCTTACCGAACGGTTCCAAAGTCATAAGGTTATTGCACCTTAGATTTGCTTCCCTTCAAACTTTGAAAAGTGTGACTAAATGCACTCTAGATCTGGGGTCCAGGTGAAGATCCAAATGCCGTCATCCATTCGATCATTAAAAACGTTTTCTTAAGGGGTCATGCTCTGTCAGTATCATGTAAGATGGCCGAAAAAAGAGTGTTCTTTAGGAATTTTTTTCTCGAAAACTATAAGACGTTTCTCAAAAAATGTGGTTGTGTTTCAAAGATTGCAGTTTCTAGATTATAAGGTAATTTTTTTATTTAAAAATATTTATTTTTGATCTCCCGGATGTCTCTCCACAAAAAGTGGTCTGCCGTGATCACTAACTTCGTAACGGTTCATCTGAAATAAAAAATTCAGTAAGATTTATGTAATGAAAGAACCAATCTTGTCCTTGAACGCGGGGTTTTTCGAAATATTGATTAGGTACAAAATAGCGGACGTTTTCCTGAAAAAGTGCGATATTCACTTAAAAAATTACTCGTTTTTGGTCAATTAAAAAAAAAGTATGGAACGAACAAAAGAATCCTTGGTTCAAGGACAAGTTTTTCTGATTTGAAATAAGGTGCAGAAGGCTTCATGTAAAAAGACACAGTAGTTTTCGAGAAATATTGATCACCGATTTGAAAAATGTAGTTTCGAGAAAAATGCCTTTAAAGTTTCAAGTCACCCTTACACTTATATAAAATGTTCATTTTTTAACGCCTGTAACTCTGTAATTTTTAATTCGATTACCTTGAAACTTGCACAGAATATTCTCGAGATGTTGTACTTAAAGAAAATGTAGAAAGTGAAAAATCGATTTTTTGAAAATTTTTGACTGAGCATGACCCCATAATTCAGACGATTGTAAATACAAGTTTCTCCCTAGAATATCTTGTGTTCCCACATTTGGGCAATTATCGATGACACTTGTCGATAGAGTATTACCGACGATCACACAGTTTCCCCGAAGTATAGGTTGTGCTGTGGCAAATAATCGATTGCCGCGGTACCACCATCGATATTATTACGTTCTAAGCCACCAATTCATCCTCCAGCGAATGGAGATTGCTACCTAGTGGCTGTTCCCCTCGCACGAAGTGACAGACAGCTCGTACGGGTGACCGTTATGTCGCGCTGCGTAAAACAGGTGAATCTATTGATGCAGTTCGTGTTGTATTGTCGGCTGGATCGTGCTTCCGTTACTGTCGTCGAAATCCTCGAAAATCGATGGACCCTGAAAATTATCGATTATAACATGGGCTACGTTACTTTTGTGTCACTCTGTATTTTTAACGAGATTAACGATAGTTTCCAAGGTAATTATATATATATACATATATGTATATATATACATAGACAAATTTAGTTTACCATTTATGAATTGCCTATGATCTTCAATGATTGACAATCTGTTTCAGTGACAATTTGAACGAGAATATGTAAAAACTCATATGTAGTGAGAATGCATCTGTAAATTTGATAAGTAAATAGATCGATGGATATCGTGCTAGTCTCTTGAAGTAAACTTGAATAATCGATATTGGAATTTCTTTAGTTTATTTATTTTGGGTAACTGTCGTCATTGTGGACATTACAATTCCTCCATCGTTTAGGGTAATATTTGTCAAGCATAAAAAATTGGATATGCAACATTTTTACGATATTCTATATTTTTGTGATTTGTGAGAAACTTCTGTTGACTCTGTTCTAAGAGGGAAACGAAATGGGCGAGTTTCATTCATACACTTGAATGCCTGACAGTTGAATCCCTATTTGCAGAACACACACGTGTCGACTGAGACGCGACGCGACGTTAATGCTTCAGGGGAATCAAGGTAGCCGGGGGGGCCTACTTGTGCCACATATTGTCGTCTGAAGTCTGAAGCCTCAATGAAACGGTTTGCACCCCGAACGGGAATATTCAGTCGTGAATTATTCCTATTCGTCCTATTTCTGTGAGATTAGAGAAATTTTGTAGCAACAAAGTGTACGTGAGATCCTAATTCTTTATTGACTTCTGATTTAATTTGTTGCAAAGGTTGTCTAATTAAAAAAAGTGTCACACTGTAGTAAATGTGAATGTGATGTAGTTTCTATGGGCACACATCTAATGGCTCTACATACAGTAACGGACAAAAAAGTTACTGCTTCATTGATTTTTTTTATTTTTATTATTCCTTAACAACTTATGATCTTAATGTAGTGGCTATTATACAACATTTCATTCTATATCAGAATATATATTAAATAGATACTAAAGTTTTGTTAAAGAATAGCAAGAGTAGAACAAACCTAAAAAGTGGTAAGGTTTTTGTCCGTTACTCTATATGCAGATTTTACCAGTTTTATATTTTTATTTTGATATTTAAATTATTAAAAATGATAAAAGAATTCATAAAATAATCTGGGCAATCGAAGTTCGCGTAAAGATCTGTAGTTTAGTAATTGTATCATTTAGGAATAGTTGTTGCATCTCGCCAATTGCAGAATATATTGCTATATTTTATAATAGTACATGTATTATTATTGTCTTCGTAAACGCAAAAGAGGAAAATCTGACAGAATAGGAGTGATGAAAAGACTAAATGATGAATGTTCTTTCTAAATAATGGGGTCAGGTACGATAGGTTATTCAGAAGATTATTACTAGTGAAATAGATTACAATAATTATGAAAAGAAGAATATTCCAATGGTCCATTAATAATACATTTGGGTAGACGGTTTATTATTGATTACCTATCTAGTTAGACGGTTTTATTTTTTATATTTTGTGTATTAACTTCTAGCAGCTTGTGTTGCACACATTAGAATAACATTATAGAAGCTATATTATATCATTTAATGTCTACAAAAAGTTGAACATTGGTATTATTGATATGATTCATTACATTGTCTCGAAACAGAATTTTGAAGTCATTCTAAAACTGGGGTGGGAAAAAATTAACTATTTGAAATTCATATTAAATGTAATTATTAAACACAAGTTACTGTTTTGTTATTCTAGCTATTGTTTGAAGTCTATACAAATTTTGAAAATATTATGTTGCGGAAAAATAAATGGTCCTTAGAACATGTTAAAATTATTAGTCTTTACATTGCACAATGAAGAGTATTAATCAATAACATAGTTATTAATTGGATAGAGTAATAAAACTTCATACAATTGTAACACTAGAGACATGAACGGTGGCAGGCAATTTTATTCACTGGTGGAACAAGTTACAATAATATTTCTAAAAACCTATTTCTTTAACATTCTATTGATTTGATATTGCACATATTGCATCTCTGAAACATACACATTTATTTTTCATTAACCAATAATTGCTACATGGAAAGCTGTCAATAATCTTTTCATAATTCAGAATTGTTCTGAAATAGATGAACGACTTTAGTTTCTTTCCGGTCGTTTCAGTAAAGGCACTTTGATATTCTATTAAAAAGAAATTCGATGCAAACTTTAGCCGACC